CATTGTGTATAGCATACACATAGTAATCAGACCATTCCCCCATTCTGTTGTTTCTCTCTCCCCAATGAGCGCTGGCAAAGATTTTGAGACTGCATTGTCCTCATTAATCTCGCGGGTTGCTCTTCTGGAGATTGAAACGGGGGTAAAGAAAAAGGCCCAGTGTTTCTCTGTTGGGTGTATCTCGGTTCCTATCGTTGCTGGTTCTGAGAGTTCTGTTGCTGTTTACGTCACGCCTATGCAATTGGGTTCATCTTCTGTTGAAGCATCTGTACGAACGCAGCCAGCTTCTGAGGCGATGGCACCTTCCGCTGCTGTTACCGCTTTCCTGACTGAGTGGGCTTCTGCCGATAGTGAAGATGCTCGCATTGTTGTGGAGGATGCACATTTTGCTAGCCCAGACTAAGCTGTGGTGGTAGAAATTCTGAAAAAAAGGTCTGCACGTGATCGTGCAACTATGACAGCTCTGGTGGCTCGGGTTGAGGCTAGTGATGCTAACGCCGTTGCTGCAAGAGCACAAGCTGATGCTGCCCTGGCAGCACAAGCCTCTGGGTCTGAGAAGTTCAAGCCTGCCCCTTCTCCTAGGTTTGAGAACAAGGAGAAGGACATGGAAATCAGGAGATGGGTTCCCATTGTTGAGGAGCATTATGCAGGCTGTCTTGATGTTGACTATCTGCGTCTGGCAAGCTCTCATCTGTCTGGCAAGCCCAGATCATTCTGGCAGAGCAAGCTCGATGCTCGCAAATCGTCTGGAGAGCCTATTGCTGACCCTCGTGCTTTCTTCCGAGACACCATGTACTCCAGTGGCTATGGTTTGAAGGAAGAGGTTCAGGGCTACTGGGATGCATATCATGAGCTTAAGCAGGGTCATGATCAGGATATTTCTGAGTACAACTCTGTGTTCGAGCAGGTCATGACCGATCTGTCTAAAGAGGTCACTGACGAGCCCGTTAAGATAGAGAAGTACAAATCTGGTCTGCAGCCAGCTCTGAGGGAACTGGCAAGGGTGTCGCCAGATGGCACTCGCTGGACGTCTCTGTCCTCTCTGATCTCCTATTGTACGCTCCAGTGGCCAACTATCAAGGCCAAGCTGGAAAGGGAGAGGAAGCCAGGCGGCCACAAGGTTGAGAAGGTGGCGGGGAAGCGCAAGTTCGCATCCCCTCCTCGGGGACGTGGAGCATCTGCTGGGCCTCGGGAAGGCAACTCTGGAGCTTCCGGGCACAAGAACCAACGGCTGTCTGAGGAAGAGAAGGAGAGGCGTAGAGTCAACAAGCTGTGCAACATCTGTGCTAGCCCAGATCACCGTGCTGATAAGTGCCCTGAGCGCACAACTCCCTGGGTTCCTAAGAAGCAGTTCAGGAAGGGCAGGAAGGATTTCTCTTAGCTTCATAAAGTGTAGGACAGCTACCTGAAGCAAATGAACACTCGAACAGTGCTGTGGACATCTCGTCTGATGACTTTAAAAGCATTATTGCTTTCTCTGGCAAGGTCTTTGATCTTGGAGTTCATCCGACAACTGATTCCATAGCAACTGAGTGGTGTCATATCGATGATTTCTGCAAGCAACCTCTGAAGGCAAAGCATGTCTGGATCAATGCCCCCTCTCCTGCAGAGTTGAGGGATAGGTTATTGTATTTTCAATCTGAGTATCTTGCATCGAGCAAGTCTACTTCTGCATGCTTGCTTGTTCCTTGCAGAGCGTCTGTTCCAGCTGTACTTCTGAAAGGCTGGAGAGAGATTCTGCTCCTGCCACGTGGCTCTGTCGTTCGAAAGCAATCTGCTGACGGTGTTTGGCAGGATACTGTGACGAAGGAGGGCCTACGTGTTTGTATCTGCCTCCTGTTACTGATGAATCTGCAGCAATTCTGGATGGTGCAATCCATCATGGGGTTCTTTCTGTTGCACAGGTTAACTCTAACCCTGGTCTGCGGATGATGTTTGCAGGTCGAGCTGCTGGCACGAATGCAAGTATCTTATTCGACTCTGGAGCTTCGGAGAACTTTGTTTCATCTAAGTTTGCGAGGCAAATTGGAATCTCTGTTGACCCAACTCCTCGTCAAATTCGGTTAGGCTCTAACGAGGTTGTAACCACTGATGGCGAGGCAAACGTGTATCTGAAGTTGGGCACTTTCCAGTCTGCTGTTCGGTGCTCTATTATGCCGTTGCTCCACGAGGTTGACGTGATTCTGGGTCAGAAATTTATGACTGGCCATAAGTGCATTCTGGATTTTGAGCGTTCTGTTGTACTGGTTAAGAAGGGTCGACGGCGGGTTACCGTAGCTAGAGCTCCTCTGCACAGGGAGGTCAGACCTGAGGTTAGTGATACGCCACTAACTGTGCTCAATGCTACGCAGATGAAGCGCGCGTACAGGAAGGGCCTGAGCTTGTTCCTCGCGGTCATCAAACCCATCGAAGAGCCTGAAGTGCTGGCTGTCGCTGCTTCTGGTCAACCTGGTCAACCGCCCCCTTGTGGAACGTGTGACAGTTTCGACATCTGTACCCCTTCCGGTAAGGAATCTTGGGTTGCTGGAATGGTTTCGGAGTATTCCGATGTGTTCAAGGATCCTCTGCCGATAGGGCTTCCGCCTGATCGAAAGCAAGGTCATTCCATCCCTACGGAACCTGGACATCCTCCTCCGTTTAGACCAATGTATCGGTTGTCTCCTCTGGAATATGAGGGACTCAAGAAGCAAGTCACGGCGTTTCTGGAAGCGGGAATTTTGGAACCGTCTAAATCTCCGTATGGCTCTCCTGTTCTCTTCGTACCTAAGCCTAACGGCAGAGGGTTACGACTCTGTGTAGATTACAGGGCTTCCCTTGGAATTCACGATGTGTCCTAAGAACTTAGTCTCTTCAGAAGCAAAGTTTGACTTTCACTGGCAGACGTAAAAGCGGTTTTGTCTCAGAATATCTAAGACCTGTCGAACAGAAGTTTGTGTTCTTCAGCGGTCTTAGAGTAGATCAGAATGTCGTCCAGATAGACAACGACAAAACGCCTCAGAAAAGGATGTAGAACCGAATTCATAACAGACTGAAACGTAGCTGGCGCGTTGGTTAAACCCTCAATCAGAACCTTGAATTGAAAATGTCCCATTGGAGTGCGGAAAGCAGTCTTAGGACGAATGGAGACATCGCCATAGCTGATTCGGTCAGCACGACTAACATTTTCTGTTCGAACGCTGACTTTATCTTTACATAATCATATTGCTTTGCGACGACTTTCGCTTACACCAGCAATCTTCTATCTAGCAACGTTCAGACGACCAAGTTGTCAGCAAGTTGTTGTGACCGAGTTTCAATCGCTCGGTTTCTCGGTCAGAGTTGAGCGCCCTTCCTAGTTGGACTAAAAATTCTATGCCTCCAAGTCGGTTCGGAAGTTCACAAGTCGGGCCGGTGTATGTAGTCTGACGCCCTCTTTAACATCAATTCTATGGTGTTTGGGAGGTACTCATACGTTTCAGACTTTCAAACCGGTAGCAGAAACACCCCAACTATTCCTGCTCCAACTACTTCACCTGGAAGTGCAAATATTGTAAGGGAGAAACGTCCTACTGTTACCAAAGTGTTTTCCATACTCCATGTACCTATAACTCGCATATCATTATTCTGGTTGTGGAAAGTTGCATTGTAAGGCCGAATTAAAATAGGAGGAAGACTTCGTTTGTTGGTCTCCACATCGAACCTTAGTCCACCAGTCTCATTTGATACGAAATACGCTACAGTGAGCTTCGAGCGCACTCTTACATCAAATTCAAAATGCAACAACCCATCCGTATGATTTGTCATGTACATTTCCTTGTCACGACGGATATGGATCAACTCCCACCCTTGAATGCGACTCGGGATAAGTGGGCCAGTCCTGCACGACAAGTTGAACAAATGGGAGGTTTTGCTTTGAACGTGCAAATATTTTCTACAATTTCGAGTAGGGCATTAGTGCATGCAAGTGCATGCAACATCGAAACAATATGCTATTTACGATGAAGTTCGAAGATGACGTTCATCATGGACGAGATGAGTGCGAATGAGGTTGGTGGAGCACTTTTCACATGGATCCTTGCAAAACTCAAGTCTTTTGGACATTGAATCACATGTTTCACTAGACGCTTCATGATTCTATGCACGGTTGTTAGCATTATTACAAACACAGATACGAAAAGAGCACAATCTAAACGAAAAGAGCACAATCTAAGTGCCTTGCACATATCGAAGTAAGATTTACTTTTTACGTCTATGCTTCACGTTGCTTGGCTCACCTTGCGTTCTTGAAATGACTCCATGAAGTTGCATTGCATAAAGACCTTACTTGTCCTCTTCGACCCGTTCGCAGCGACAAACTCCGCTAAAAGCATAGAAGTATCAATTCAGTATGTTGGACATGAAACAGTACCTCACGTGTTCTTCATACGTGGAAAGTCTTTCCACAAGAGTATACAGGTCATCGCCACCCATGATCAATAAAGATCTAAAGAAGCAACGACATGCAAGACAGATGTCCTATCTAGACAATTATCAATGGCATTTCCGATTCTCCAATGTCTACCAATACTCTTAAAATTTCCTGAATGAATGAAGTTGAACACACGATCAAGATGATATTTCCCAAGACAAATTTGATGCGATGTATGCTTCCTTGACACATGTAGAAAGCCCAGTTTAGGATAAGCAACCTCACCTCTTTAAGAACGCTTTCAAACTTAACAACGCTTGCCTCGTCAATGCGAAGTATTGCCGTCATTATTTGGTACAATATCATGGTTGCTACTAGCTCGTGACCACTTTGCCCAAGATGTTTACCATCCTTCTGATACAGGTATTCTCGAGATATTAAATGCAACGGACCGGCTCCTTCCGGGAAAATAATGGTGCTATTCCAAAACGCTGAGATGGCTGCAGAGCAAACAGCAAGAATCAGAAAAATGTATGATCACATCGACTTTGAACCATTAGATGGTGAACAATCAGTTTCAAATGTTGCAAGATGCTTGAAGCAACTCTCAATTGTTTTTTGGAACATGATCTTGATGAACGATAGTGCATGATGCGTTATGGATTAACAGAGATAATCTGTATTGCCATTGCCTCCTCTTCATTCTGCACACTGGCTGACAAATCTGAATTCATGAGGTTGTAATTTCTCACCTCGACTTACAGAGAGGGAGGTCAGATTTCTTTCAACAGCAAGGTTGGTGAAATTTGCGAGTGTGTTGTCCCAAGCACTTGATGAAACTACACCTGGACTAGCATCTTTCCTAAACGACCAATTAGAATTGTAGTGTTCTAGAGTGATAATGGTCGGTGATGCTATTTCAAAGTTGGATGTCAGAATCGACTCGTAAAGTCGACGCCCATCCTCCTTAGTGGTTGGGTTGACATTGAATTCTGCTACCACAATGTCTGGAAATGGTCCTAAAAATCTCTGCAAGGGAAATACAAGAATTAGCTACAACTACAAGGAACCTTCTTAAGCTTGTAACAACGAGCATCTTGCTTACATGTCATTGCAGGCAGATCGCAAAATGTTTGCTGAGGACTTGCTGTTATGTTAAAACCAAAGAAGGTTTATTGCCTTCCTCTGCGTGCACTTATGCATCAAGATGCAGCCATCCAAGTTACCATCTAAGAAGTGAACCACTAGATGCACAAAAACGCCACATGTGGATCAGCTAGACCATCCATGGCTCAAGCTAGACCATCCTAGCAAGTTCTCTCTGATGATCTCATGACAGCGTGCACAACGAGCCAAGCATTCCAATGTTACAGGTCATACGATGTGATTGTGACATGAAGCCTAAAAGCAGTCCATGCACGATCGATGTTTTTGTCAAATATTTGTATTTTCTTAGGAACTCACCTCCAAGCACAAAAGCGGGATGGCTCCACCTGCACCAGCTACTCCGCCATTGATGTAGTAATTATAATCATTTGGGAAGCTTTCATTCCACCAAAGTCCAACTATCTGAGGATAAGGTAGAGGCAACCACATGCCGGCTGCGCAAAGGTGCAGCATTTGAGGATTAAAATTGGGCAAAGAAGCATTTGAGGATTAAAATTGGGCAAAGACAGCGTGGTAACTGTCAAAGTCTATTGTATGGACCAAGGCCTTCTACTGTAGCCTTTAGCAAGTGACGCAGGAGACAAATATACCAGAACCTCAAGGTCAGCAAGCTGTCCCAACAATTTGTGGCCCCTCGCATGGCATCAAACTTACAATCTCGTGATAACATCTTCCCATCCTGACACGATACGAGGGACAATGATGACAGCTTGTACATTGAAAACCAACCGGTCACGGAGCCTCCAAGTGCCACAACTCCAGTTGGTATCCCGTAAAGCGCTGCGAGGACTTGTTCTTGAAGTCGATTTAAGGTTGCGGTGCCGACG